TTCCCAGGGAGGGAATTTATGACGCTTGAATTCTTCTGGAAGGCTCTGCTTTTTAGGCAGATAAGCAGCATTCAGAAAAAAAAGAACTGTCGGCAGTGGTGTATTCTGGGTCCCTTAGTTGACAAAACAACAGTGCTCTCAAGAAGGGAAGTTATTCTGGATAGACCATTTGACCTTGCAGTTGTGGGTCTGAGTGGGCTCCAGGCATGCTCTGCAGATTTTAGTTGAATCTGATAGCTCAATACATACTTATCCTAGGTAAGAGTGGTAATGTGCCCCCTAGTTAAATTTCCCAAGTGCAATGCTGTGTTCTAATTTTTCTAATTCTGTTTCTTGACCAGGGGTAGGAAATTCTGGCACTTCGGCTGTGTAAGGCCCTTGAAATCACTTGGTCTGGCCCTGCCAATATAGCTACAGACAGGACTTGAAAGTCAGTCTGCAGCAAACTAACTTTTACGTTGATAAACCTGTATGTCTCATGAATGAGGCCATAAATATCCAAATGGCCCTTGGCAGAAAACAATGTTGCCCACTCCTGCAACCTTCAGGATGATGGAATTTCCTGGCATAGCATTTCCTGTTTTTTTTTTTTTTTTTTTAAATTGTAACATGCATTCTCCTTTTTTCAAAGGAGAAATTTGTGCTTCAGGTCAACTATTTAGGGTCAACTGATACTTGCTATGAATAAAAACTAATACTACCTAATGCATCTTATATCAGGATACAGGGACCATTTTTATTAAAACAACTACATATCCAAAGGAATTTTTCCTTTCTCCACTTTGTGTCCTAGATTGGTTTTATTTTTGGCTTAACTAGGTGCATGGGCTCCACATTACTTGATGCCTGGCAAGATTTGATAGGTAAAGACTAAAACAGATTATTCGAACACAAAGCACTTCTGCAACCAACTCTACGTGTCTTAGGAAGTGTGTTGTGCTAACAAGTATGCAATACACCCCTTGTCTACTGCTCTAGGTCTCAACTTTTATCCTGTATTAAGAGGTGAATTCCCATGAGAACTGTAACACTTCCTCATTTGTCACTTTGCTACCTTTCTTTCATCCATATCATTGATTCGTTTGTCCTGGATTACAGGCAGTGTGATAGTTTAAAGATAGATCATGAAGGCCAAAACCCTTTTGTGATCCTCCACTGTTCTTAGAGTAAGACCCTGACTTTTCAGGATGGCCCGCAGGCTTGGTGTCATTTTTCCACTGTATCTCATCTTAGAGCTCATTTCTCAACATCTCAAGCTTGCTCCTTCCAGCTACCATGACTGCCTTTCCGTTCTTGCAAACTATGACTCATTTTTGCCCTGGGCCTCTGTACGTATTTCCCTTGGCTAAGCTGTCTTCATCCAGATTTTCTCACAGCTGTCTTTTTATCATTTGAGTATCCTTAGCCACATGGAAGCTCTCTGGCCACCATCTCCTACTCTTGTCCATGTTCTCTCACAATAGCTTACTTTATTTTCTTCATATGAAACCCACTACCTGAAATTATTTCACTTGTGTATTCTCCATCTCCTCAACAGAATGCAGTCAATATGATGATCATGTGGTCTAACTTATTCTTTGCTGTGATCTTACCTTCCTTAAAACATAATTGATCATTAGCTACATGTTAAGTGAGTCATATCAAATAGAAAAGTACTGCTGTCTGTAATAGGGGCTGATGTTTCCCAAGAAGTAAATAAGAAGCTAATGGTAAAGAATGTGGGAAATTGTTTGAGTTTGAATATTTTGAGAACATTTTTATTGGAATGCTTATACTTTCTCGTATATATAATATATATGCTATTAAAATTTTGAAGTAACCATAAACTTAAAAAAGTTAAGAATATAGGACCAGAATTATTTTTCTGAAATATTTAGTGATATGTTGCTTATTCCTAGACACCTTTCATGTGTTGATACTAACAGGACATTCTCCCACATCACCAAATAACAGTTACAACATCTACATTGACACATTGAGTTGGTGTGTTTCTTAGAAACAATTTCATCAGAGGTCCCAGTCATGCCACTGATACCAAAAGGATACAGTAGAATCACTCATTGTGTTCAGTTGTCATGTCCTTTTAGGCTTTCTTCCCTTTGCCATGATTTCTTAGTCTTTGCTTTGGCCAACTTGACTCTATAGAAGATAAAAGAACAATTATTTCAAAAAATGGATTACTGTGGACTCTTTCTCCAAGGTAAGATTCAATTGTGAATGCAGTAGGGATGTGACAAATAATGAAGAGTCCTTGTGACTTCTTCATGGCACACGACTGTCGACTCTCTGTTGCTGAAGATGTCCATATTGATTTTTCATCAAGGTGGTGTTTGCTAGAAATCTCCACTATGAAGTTACTGTTACCCTTTATATATGTGAGGGGGCTTGAAAAATTCATGGAAAACATGTGGATTTCAATATTTTTGGCATCAGAATAAACTTACCTTTAATTCTGTTTACCCACACAATTTTCAAGGTATTCTTACAAGTGTTTTATGGGAAAGTACTGTGACAGTACTCAAAATACCTCTTAATTTCAATACATTTAAGTATTTGTATTTTCTATTTTATTCAGTATATTGCAATGTATTACTGTCTTCATTGGAAATGATCCTCAGATTGCCCCCGTTGGACCAGTCTGAGTGTGTTGAGGTCTTTTTGATGTCACCTCTATCATTTTCTGTGTATATCCTTGACCTTTGTTATAATAAGGTAACCCAAACTTGCCTTGCAGTTTCTGTACTTTGTTTCTAGATTTGATCCTTTTTTATTTTACTGGAGATTGATAATTACACACCAACACATGCATATTAGGTATGCTCACTGCTATTGAGGTATGATTACTTTGAGCCCTCTTGATGGGCAGATTTAAGGAATAGAAATATATAAATAATATACATAATTATAGTTATGTTTCTCAACAAAAATTGGTTAAATTCACCCAGTTTCTCTTTTTTATTTTTAAAGATTTATTTATTTGGAAGGCAGAGATAGAAGGAGAGAGAGAGAGAGAGAGAGCAAGTGAGCAAGAGCGAGGATCTTCTATCTACTGGTTCACTCCCCAAATGGCTGCAACATCTGGGGCTGGGCCACGCTGAAGCCAGGAGGCAAGAGCTTCTCCCTGGTCTCCTACTTGGGTACAGGGCATCTTCCACTGCTTTCCCAGGCACACTAGACTAGCAGGTAGCTGGATCAGAAGTGTAGCATCTGGGACTTGAACCAGCTCCCATAGAGGATGCTGCAGGTGGAGGCTTAACCCTACTTGGTTCCTTCAAATCCAATCCTCTAATCATATCCTAATCTTCCCCTCATTGGGTAAGTTTTTATGATAGTGATTTTGTCACATAGATGAGCCAAAGCTCTATGCTGATCTCTTAATGTGAGTTGAGAAAAATCCTGGATATGTTTACTACAGAATCAATTGAAGTCTGAGAAATAATGTGGATAGATGGTTTATTTTGTGGAAAAATAGAGAAGAAAAGATGGAGAAATTTATACTGCATATTCAAATGAATAATATTTCAGAGCTATAACAGTTTGTGTTATTTAAAGATTTTTTTAGAAAAAGAAACCGACAGAGAGGGCTTCAATCTGTTGGTTCACTCCCCAAATGCCTAGTTGGAAGAGCCTGGGCCGTGTTGAAGCTAGGAGCCCAGGATTGAGTTCAGGTCTTCCATATGGGTAGCAAGAACCCAAGTACATTAGCTATCACCTGCCAATTCCCTAGTGTTCATTATCAGGACACTGGAGTAAGGAGCAAAGCTGGGACTCAATGTCCCATTGAAGGCATTATCAACCAGTGTCATTTGGCTAAATACTCACCTCCCAAACTTTATTTGCTAATATTCATTAAAATGTAACATACTTGCCCCTTCTTTCCCACTGAATCAGGTAATAACTGGTTATGCGTTTGCTGCCTTTTTAGCTGAGTGTTAAGCATTCTTTTTTTTCTTTTTTTTTTTTTTTTTTGACAGGCAGAGTCAGACAGTGAGAGAGAGAGAGAGACAGAGAGAAAGGTCTTCATTCCGTTGGTTTACCCCCCAAATGGCTGCTACGGCAGGTGCACCGCACTGATCTGAAGCCAGGAGACGGGTGCTTCCTCCTGGTCTCCCAGGCAGGTGCAGGGCCCAAGCACTTGGGCCATCCTCCACTGCCTTCCCAGGCCACAGCAGAGAGCTGGACTGGAAGAGGAGCAACTGGGACAGAACCCGGTGCCCCAACCAGGACTAGAACCCGGGGTGCTGGCACCGCAGGTGGAGGATCAGCCCAGTGAGCTGCGGCGCTGGCCAAATGTTCAGCATTCTTGATGTTTGTACTGCATTGCTTACTAAGTTAATATACAATATTAAGCACTTATGTGATATTTGAGATAGTTGTGTAAAAGTAGGATTAACTTATGGTTTGGAAGTATTATTGGGAATTGAGTTATTCAGCAGTTAGGGGCTTCCCGATTAAAATCACCGCTAAATAATTTTATGACTGATAAATGGTGAGAAGTTGAAGGAGGAGGACAGTAAGTACTTGGAGTCAGAAATAAGTGCCTTGAAAAATGAAATCGTGAATTCTTCCCGGTGCTTAGCTAAGAATCTCAAATGCAACCTTGGTGTTTCCATGAACTTGCGACTCTGAATCAGACCTTAAGATATTAAAAATCCTTCTCAATGGGAAAACAAATAAAAAAGGGAAGTAAACAGTCAATATCAGGGGGAAAAAAGGCCATTCTTGGATTGGAAAGGTCAAACGTGGAGGGAGAGGTAGAAGTGCTGTCAACCAGTTTCCCTTGATGGCCAAGGATAAGTCATGTGTTGAAGGCAAGATGAAAACAAAACACTTGGTCTATTAAGTGCCTCTTTTTCAGTTTAGCAATGAGGGGGATCTCTGATTAGTCTATAGAAGTGATTGAATTCAGTAAGTAATTGAAAATCGTCATATCTGTTTTTAATAATGTGTATCTTTCGAAACCGAGATTCAAATGCTCAGCCTTGTGATTTGCTCCACAGATCTGCAGGAATGTCTGAAAATATGAAAACTAGTTGCTTTTCTTGCACCAGGAAAGAGAATGGGAAAAAATAGCATTCTACTAAAGTAAGTTCTGGCTTATTTTTTTCTATTATTATTATTATTATTTTTTTTTTTGGCAGGCAGAGTTAGACAGTGAGAGAGAGAGAGAGAGAGAGAAAGGTCTTCCTTTTCCGTTGGTTCACCCCCCAAATTGCTGCTATGGCTGGTGCGCTGTGCCGATCCAAAGCCAGGAGCCAGGTGCTTCCTCCTGGTCTCCTATGCGGATGCAGGGCCCAGGGACTTGGGCCATCCTCCACTGCCTTCCCGGGCCACAGCAGAGAGCTGGCCTGGAAGAGGAGCAACCAGGACAGAATCTGGCACCCCAACCGGGACTAGAACCTGAGGTGCCGGCGCCGCAGGCAGAGGATTAGCCTAGTGAGCCGCGGCGCCGGCCCATGGCTTATTTTTTCATCTCATTTTAAATAAGCACACTGATTTTTATGAGGCACATTAAGGATGCTCAGTAGTTTAATTAAGAATCACTGTTACTTCATTTTAATGATTCTAATTGTGATATAGATCATTAGTTTTCTATTAGTCTTTTTGTTATGGTCATATTGCTTTATAAAGTAATGCTATTAAACTAATGTTTTTACAGAATAAAAGGGAATTGGAGGCCGGCACCGCGGCTCACTAAGCTAATCCTCTGCCTGTGGCGCTGGCACCCCAGGTTCTAGTCCTGGTCGGGGCGCCGGATTCTGTCCTGGTTGCCCTCTTCCAGTCCAGCTCTCTGCTCTGGCCCGGAAGTGCAGTGGAGGATGGCCCAAGTGCTTGGGCCCTGCACCCACATGGGAGACCAGGGGAAGCATCTGGCTCCTGCCTTCAGATCGGCACAGCGCGCCGGCTGCAACGTGCCAGCTGTAGTGGCCACTTGGGGGGTGAACCAACGGAAAAAGGAAGACCTTTCTCTCTGTCTCCCTCTCTCACTGTCTAACTCTGCCTGCCATAAATAAATAAATAAGTAAATAAATGAAATTAAAGAGAAGGCAATTGTTTTATTGAGAATTTCAATGTCTCTGAAAAGTTAATTATAGTAAATAGTTCCATTTTTAAAATGAATACTATGGTTTGAAAAATCACAGAATTCTGTGTGGGTATCTTTCTTGGCTTTAAGCCTAGTGTTTTTTTTTTTTTTCTTTTCTATTGTGGAAAAAGATTTGATCCAAATATGTTGATTTTTTTTCCATTTTGAAAATTGTTGTTCAGTTGTTGTGACAAATAGTGTAGGTGATGATTACCCAGAGTTGAGGAATTCTGCCTTCCACCGCCACCCCCAGCTCCCTCTTAGGAAGAAAGAGCAAAGGTAAGGCTCCAATATCATGAAGAACTAATAACTGCGCCAATTCCTCTTCGCCACTAGATGTCCCTGTATAGACGCTCCTTCGACCTCAGAGCACTCTTCAAAAAAAAAGATAGCAACAAAGCACAGGGTTGTTAGCTACTCCTTGCCTTTCTCTAAGTTAGCACCCTGGAACCGGCCAGATGCTTCCCCCGCCTTCACAGATGATTAATTCCAGAGGACTGAATTTTTTTTTTTGGTTATTACTAGAAACAGGATACAAACACACATACATATTCCGTTTGCTAGTTCAATCCCCAACTTCACACAACAGCTGGGACTGGATTGGGCTGAAGTCAGTAGCCAGAAACTCAATCTGAGTCTCCCACTACTTGAGCGGTCACCTGTTGCTTCCCAGCCCGTATGCATCAGCAGTAAGCTGGAATTGGGGGCAGAGTCAGGACTTCAACTCAAGCACTCTCATAGGGCATGTGAGCCTCCTAAGCAACACCTAACTGCTGTGCCCCTGCATATAGGTCTTGAACTAAGCAGAAAGCAAGTAGAATTAGGTTTAAGCTTTGGCTATTCAACATAGAAAATGTGAGCCGTTTACAGATATAGTTTAGATTTACAGACAAATGAATTAAGCATACTCATATGAGGAAGGGGCTGAGTTTGAATTAATCAAAATAGGTAATTTAGATTTATATCTGGTAGTAAAATACTTTTGTATTTTGAGTGTGAGATCATCTAGTGTTCCAGGAGTTAAGAAATGCATTTAGGTAACATTGATCTTCAAGGGAACTTGAGGGTTGTTGAGATTTCTTAAATGGCTTCTTTACTCATAAGTTCTGTTTGCTGTATTTGACCACGATTGTCAACTGCTGGAATAATGTGATGCGGCTTTATCAGAGCCCACTTCTTCATACATTTATTGAATTCTTAGTTCAGTTTACTTGTGAAGGGAGGAGGTAGTTGAATGTTTGGATTTAAGCTATCTGTTGCAGTTTTACATTTCATGGAATCATAAAACAATTAATATAGTAAATTTCTTGTTCTGCTCACATGTTTTGAATTGATTAGAATGTCTCATAAATTGTACTAAAATACAGTATTGTCTTCCTATTGAAAAGCTGAATTTGTTTTAAAAGGTTTTAAGAAAGCTAAGAGGATATATGGATCATTTCTAAAGGATTAGATGCTATATTCAAATCAATACAGATTTGTCAGTTGGATATAGTTTAAATTTTGTGGTGACACAATTTTTTAGGTTGATGTTTCATAATATGTTACTTCAATATAAGAATAACATAGAAATAATACAAAATAATGGCAAGTAACCACAGTTTAAAAAAAAAAAGTGATACTTGGGCAAGCCTAGAGCGTGAGAGTGATTGCAGGAGATTGATGACTGCCTCTTAAGAATAGAATAGGTAGAAAAACTTGACAACATAAATGCTGGAGAATTTGATAATCCTGGGAAAAGTTCTTGAAAATATCAGTGAAGTTTGTAAACCCAGAGGAATGTCAGTATAAATAGGCACATGGAATCAAAGTATTTCAGTGTTGAGAAATGAGAACTCTGATACACAGCTGATAGGAGTGTGAAGTGGTGTTACCGGTTAGAGAAACAGAGGTGGACGTTTAGCCCAGTGATTAAAACACTGCTTAAGATGCCCTTATTCCACATAGGGAATGCCTGAGTTGATGGCTGGCTCTGGTGCTTTCTTGGTAATGTAGACCCTGGGAGGCAGTGGTGATGGCTAGTGTAATTGGGTTCCTGCTAGTTAGGTGGGAGACCTGAGCTGAATTCCCAGCTTTTGGTTTTGGTTAAAAGCTAAAAGGTTAGCACTTGGGGAAGAACCAGCAGATAGGATCTCCTTATTTTTTGTTCTCTCTGCTCCTGAAAACCAACCAGCCAAGCAGGTCCTCAGATGATTAAACATATAGGCATACTAATCAACTCAGCCAATTTACATCTAGTTAAATCTCCAAGAGAAGAGAAAAACATAAGTCCACGCAAAACCTGCAGCTGAATATGCATAGCAGTACTTTTATTAACATTAAGATGAAAAAAATTCAAATGTCCTTTGGTGCATGAATAGATATGAACATAGCTATACAACAGAATCCAGTTACATATGTAACATAGCTGTACAAGAGAAATCAGTTTTAACATAAATGGGAGAGAATACCCACAGGAGCTTCAAAAGGGATCAAATTGGAAAACAATGTTGAGTAGAAGGAGCCAGGCAGAAAGGACTATGTGCTCTCCTTTTATAGTTCTGTGAGTTGTCTGGAATTGGCACATACAGAGACAGAGTAGATTCATGGTTGCATAGAGGTGGTGGGGAAGGAAGAACTGGAGAAGCAAAAGCTAAGGGATATGTGACTGCTTCTTGTGGACAATGCTAAAGGATTACGTTATCACAGTTATATAACTTAGTGAATATAATAAAGACCATTGAACACTTCTGTTGAGTTATATGTCATGTGAACTGTATCAATAAAATTGTTACAGAATAATTACACGTTTGTCAAGAACAAATTACCTCAAGAAAATTCAATTTGTCCTATACCTCAGATTTGCAGGTGTAGGGCTTGAATCAAAGTGTGAGTGGAAAAATGAGAACAGAGCAACCTGGAGTACACAGAGACACTGATTAGAGACAAATACATTTGAACTAAGGTGGAAAGTTTCCAAATAGTGACAGGGGTTTGTAATGCTGATGATAGCTGACATCACAAATACAACTTCCTGCTTTTTGTGCAACTGTCTGGTACACAGGTGTTGCCTGTTTAAAATCACATGAAATTGTCCACTACACATGATTTCCTTCAGGAGTTTTCTATGAAATGAAACAAAGGAAGATAAAATATTTCTGAAATGAATTATTCAGTGAAATTATTTTAGCCAGTTAATAATTTGCAAGCAATTACCTTTTGGAAAGGGAGTATCAGTGTAAATGCTGTTTAAATGTATTTGTGTTTTGTGTGAAGGACTAGTAAAACTTCAAGTTTATCTTAGAGATGCCAATAAAGTGATAAATTATGTTGGGTTTCTTTTTATTCACAGTATATTTATTTAAAAAAATCAATGATATTCACAGAAAGCAATAATTTGAAATTATTTTAGCCAAGTCTGAAGATGCTGCAAAAAGTTGATGAAAAAATGAGCTTCAAAGATAGAGATTCATTGTGGTGCAAAATTTTTGAAGTCAATGCATAGTTTTTTAAAATAAAATTTTCATGGATTTTGAAGAGCTTTCATATTCATGGCTTTAAACAATTCTTGCACCAAAATAAATGTACATTCAAATTCAATTTTCCATAATCTTTTTGAATTATCCTCTTTGGTTCTCGCATTTAACATGGAAATCAATAAGTGAAAAAAACCAAACTTGCTGTTACTTAGTTGGGAGCAGGGGAAGAATACGGAGGTCTGGTTCTGTGCAGAAAACTGATAGAAGTCTTGTCTGTCTAGAGCCACCCTGGGAAGCATCTCTGGAGAGTTTAAAGCTTACAGGGAACATAGTTGGAGAATCTTTAATACAAAGTGTATGGTTAGAATTACAGATTGATCTTACAACTAGTTATTTAGGTGCCTCTACATAAAGATGCTTTATTTCTCCAGTCTTGTTCTAATTGTGTGGAAAATGAGGAAGTGGAATACACTGAGTTTTTAAGGTTTTTTTTTTTTTTTTTTTTGGTTCCTCTGATGTCTTAAGATTCTGAAATACGGCCC